AAAAATGATCAAAATTCAAATATCAATTGATTATTCCGAGAATATACCGTCAAATTATTTCTTTATTTGATTTAAATACTGAAATGCTTCCGGATTATATCAAATTGTGTTTGAATTAATAACGAAGTGTTACTTGCTTCCTAAAATTGTAACCTTTGAACTTTTGGAATATTGTAAAGGAGGAGTTTGAAAATCCCCATAAATAATATTATAATTTAAGAGATCGAATATTCTTCACCTTTTTTTTTGCAATAAGTTGGCTCCATTTAGCCATTAAGCCATTTATCACTCCATAATTTGTCCCTTCTTTTCCTTTCTTTGCCAATACCAATAGAAATAGCTGTCCCAATTTAAATTTCAATTCTCACCTTTACTTCGATTAATTAGAAATGATTTGACACTTGTGTGATGCATTCTTTAAGTAATGCAATTTCATTTCCATTCTGTGAAAGCATTTTACATTTCCAAATTGTGCTATCAAATTTTTATTCGGAATGATTTGTCAGAAAGCTTTATCCATCTCATAATTTATCAAAATGACGGAAGGGAACTGGTCGCAGAACTGCGTCACTTCGCAGAATATAATTCCCAGATGACATTAACTCTTCATTATATGTGTTAATTGGCAACAGTGTTGTTGTCTATGTACTACTCAATAAATCAGCTCCCAAAAATATCCCGCGAGAATTTAGCATATACAAGATTAGTTTATATGGTAATGTTTGTTAGTGATTGCTAAAACTACATGCCAAGGTGCCTACTAAAAATTATTTCATACGTGAAACGAAAATTCTTCGTTCTTCTTCATCTACCTCATTGATGTGACATTTCACACGTTAACTTTACACGTTTGATTCCATAAATTGCAATTATCCAAACGATGTCAAGTTGTTTACGCAAATAATTGCCTGAACTTATTAGAAATTTCTTCTTTTTTTCTTTGAAACTAACCAACTTCATTTTTTTTTTCGTTATCTGTAAAATCTTAAATTTTCGATGTTAACTCCGTTTAGTACAGCATTTATTTATTCAACAACATTCATAGAACAAAAGTTTCAGGAGGAATTAAGCCGTATTACCTGGCACTGGAAGTTTCTTTTAGACATCTGGACAGTAGATAGGTAACTCGGCAGAGAAGCTATCAGCAAGAAAAAGAAATCTAGATATGATAGAATCATCTCAATTAATATACAGCCCAATTCACAGGACAAGTAATGTTCAGCAAAATTAAAGTATTTATTCACAAGTTTTATTCAACAACAAGCAAACCTTGCGCTTGGTTCAGAAATTGCTCCAAACGATCACGAAATTCAAGTTTCCCCCGTCGGCCTAAGCGAAACTCTAAATTCGCTGGCAATAAAGCTTGAAATGCTGACTGGAGAGCTGCATGATAAGGGCGATTTTCATCACGAGAAAGCAATTGTTTGACGTATTCTTCGAAAGCAACCTAAAAATTGGTTTAAATTCAATGGTACATGTGACAGTTAATACTATCTTCATGATTAAAGTTGAGATGCAACGTCGGATTAATTTATTTAAAAATTACCAAAGATAAACTAGTCTTATGCTAAAAAGCACTAAAAGCAATAAGCTTTAAAATCTCGTGGTAAGAAGCAGCATGATTAAAGCAGGATTGCGAAATAGTGATGGGACCCAAATACTAATGTGATCACATATAAAAAGTTGAGGTTAAAATTCCTTTTTTAGAAAATTATACAAGTTGGTAATGTAGCAATTAAGCATAATTGATCAAAACAGCTCCCTTTTGTATCTCATATTTTTCAAATGTAAAATAGGCTGATTTTCTAGGTTTAATTCAAAATTACAAATTTCTCGAACACACGGAAATTTCCCTGGAAAAAATAATAATGATAAATACCTGATTGCAACAGATTAAGGAGAAGAGGGCTGTTGCGGAAGCATTTTGCAAATCTACCTGCCAGGAGCAACTTAGACACATTCCAAAAGTAGGCTGAAAATTAAAGTAATTTTCAGTAACTATTTAACGGACGAACAAGACAGTAAACAATATCCGAAAACAATATCCAGAAACAATATCCGCTGACAATTGATCCTCTAGAAAATGGACAAAGAGCATGTTGGACTAAGAGCCAAAACTAACTGTGTTCATTAAAAGTTGACATTAAATTTTTTTTCTTTTTTAAAACCATTGAAAACCCACTTCAACAAGGTTATTCGCCAATTCTTATGGGGCAAAAATTGGAAAAATTTTGTGACTGGCTAAATTCAGAAGCGTAACATTTGACAAAAAGTGAAATTATTTGGAACTTGTTATATGAGTAAAAGCACCACAGGACACAGCGCAACAAGTTTTGTGCAAAATATATACAAACATTACTTCAAGAAGGACAACGAGACGTGCAATAGCTGTTTCATTCTTCGGTGTATTTCGAGCAAAATACGAGGCTACTTCGGTTACTGTTTCAGCAGAAATCAACGAAATCTGAAATTCACATATGACAAAGTGTAACAGAATAAACAAATCGATTAAATCTAGAAAAAAAGAAAAATCAGTTTAATGGCGACAAAACTATCATAACAGAGTTATAGTATAATATTGTATTGTGAAGTTAAAGGGTTAATATGGGATG